GAAGTGCCTCACAGTCAGAAGCTGCTGTGATAGCGCCACCACATTGCTATTACCAGGACTACGTACATTCAGGTATAAACGTGTTTCAGTTATGAGTTGCTCAACAGGTTAAATCTGTCGGCTGCAAACACACTGCTGCCACCGCGCGGCACAAAAGGAGAGGAACAGCAGGACAGCTGCAGACTTCAGCAGCTGCAGCCACACTGCCCAAGTTTTCTGCAGTCACACTTCATTTTCTCCAGGAAATGCCATCTAGTTTTCAGATTTAAGTCCCAAGGATAAAGAATTGCATAGTATTTAAAGTGTGCAGCTTGTTATACATTCGATTATTATGTGCTTCTTTAAATTTCAATGTTTTGATTGTGAAGTTCGACTACATTTATAGCTTGACTTTGTGGTGTGATCTACAGGACAAGAACAAGTTGATGGATGCTTTAAAGCATGCTTCGAACATGCTGGGGGAGCTGAGGACCTCCATGCTTTCTCCAAAGAGCTACTATGAGCTCTGTATCCTTTGCTTTTTTTGGTTATTTATATATGTCACATCTAAACTTGTGTTTCATGTTTTTGTTGAATGTGGAGCCACTTTGAGCTGAATAAATTAAATGCACTACTTTGATATGTTGTCACCTTTCCCTCTCTGTCATCACTGTGTAGTCTTAAGCAGTGTCCTGCACACAAGTCTGTGATTGGTTACATGTCATGAGTAAGAGCTAAACAAAAATGAAGCTAGTAGGTGCATTTGTAGACTCAAGCAGCTCTGCTTTCAAAGATAAGGTAGCCTGCATTGCTAAAGTTGTAACGACTGCAATATTCAGGCCAATGCCTGAATAAATCCCTTATAACTGTCAGTGCAACTGGAACATGCTTTCCATGCCTGTGTGTCTAAAATTTCATCCACTGAAATAATGGTGCTTAAAACAGATATTTGGTTAGAGGAGAGACTGTACAAAGAGATTCTTAGTCATCTACACCTTAATAATTCATCATTAAAAGAGTTGTAATTGAAGTGATCACTGCTGGATTTAGGAGATTCCAGGATTTGTACATACATTCAATGAATGGACCTCAAACACAGTGAGAGCTGAAAGTTTTTTGGTGCAATATTTGGAGTTGAACATTTAAAAATTAGCTCATTTTATAATCTTGTGTAGGAGAAGCTGCATGCTGCTAATGTAAATGTTGGGGATGTAAGTGAATGGGGTCGTCTGCATTGGTCCCTAACCATTGTTTTCAGATATGGCTATCTCTGACGAACTCCACTACCTAGAGGTTTATCTGACTGATGAGTTTGCCAAGGGACGCAAGGTGGCAGATCTTTATGAGCTGGTCCAGTATGCAGGCAACATCATTCCAAGGCTGTGAGTATCACCTTAACTGAACTTTGATTAAACAGCTTTAGAAGGTTTTCCAACATTAGTGGTCATCACAGTGTGCTGGGGAGCTACCCCCTTTCCAGGTACCCAAGCAAGAAAGGCTGATTGACAGTGGGAAACATAAATTGATTGTACAGTGCCTATATTCAAGTATTCACCCCCTTGAAAGGTTCCCTCTTTTATTGCGTTTCAACATGGAAACATAATCAATTTCATTTGGCTTTTCGAACAAGAATTTCCAGAAAGAGCTCATCATTGTCAAAGTTCTACAATGTTCTGTCAATTATTTAAAAATATGAAAGCAAAAATAATAGGACTGGACCCGAATAGTCGAATAGCCAACTATTTGTTCGCTGTGCTAGAATCGGGATATCAATTTTGATATCCGAATATTTAAAAATGTCATATTAAATGTTGGCTAGAGTTCACCAAAAGGCATGGAGGAGACACTGAAGTCAACTGTAGGAAGGTTCTTTGGTCTAATGAGACAAAATTGAGATAAAATAAAGTTTTTGTTTAATTTTGCAGAGTTGCTACATTTTTTTACAGCTCTATGCATCAACAGACAGAATAGAACAAAAAGTGAACAGTAAGGTACAGAATAAGCCACATATGTATAAAACCACATATAAAAGCCATATCGTCGTTTTGATATCTAATATATATCACACATTTCTGAAAACCCATCTACATATTACTACTAGGAGCAACATATTGTATACTCTGTGTAAACAGATACACAATGCTACGGGAATCCGGACAACAACCGTGTAGATCAAATATGTGGCTGGCTGGACACATCAAATAGTTCAGATAAGCTGCTGTTTATTGAATAGAGTCAGAGAAGTGGGGACAGTAACAGTGCAATACATGTGACCGTATAAAATGATCTGTGGCATCTACCTGAAGGTAATAGTTCATAGCCAGAAAAAACAAAACAAAACAAAAATGGTATGAGGGGTCCTTCAGGATTAAAGTGAAAGTGGGTCTATGGGCAATTTTGAAAAACCAAAAAATATCTTGGAAATATTTGACATGTCCAGCTCAAATTTTACAAATATCTTTAGAAATATTGATGCATATTTGTGTTGGATTTTTGTACTTTAAAGTACAGAATAATATAAATATCTGTAAGATCAAGCATGTTTGCCTGTCGCCTCTCTCCCCAGCTATCTGCTGATCACAGTGGGTGTGGTGTACGTTCGCTCCTTCCCCCAGTCTCGCAAGGACATCCTGAAAGACCTGGTAGAGATGTGTCGTGGCGTCCAGCACCCACTCAGAGGCCTCTTCCTCAGAAATTACCTTCTGCAGTGTACACGCAACATACTACCAGATGATGGAGAGCGGGCAGAGTACGTCAAGCTGTCTGTCTTTGTGTTTTCCAGTCACTGCACATTCCCGTAGCATCAATGCTGTCATGCAGCAGCAGTGGACTTGTTCAATTTCAATAGCAGTGGAATTCTAGTTTATTTTGGAAATACTGTACCAGTCAATAATGTACCAGTCAATAATGTGGACATGTCTACTCATTCAAAGGTTTTTAATAATTTTTTACTTTGTAGAACAATAGTTAGGACATTAAAAGTTATGAAATAACACTTGCGAAAAATGTAAGCCAACTTTTGTTTTGATAACAACTTAGAATTTTTCAAATCGCACTCCCCGCCCCTGTCGGTCCCAATAGTCACCCTCATAAAAGTGGACCAGTAATATGAAATATTAAGACCATTAAGAGCAACCCAAAGCTATTGAAAACATTATCAAAGGAGTAAGACAGTTTAAAAGCTTTGGAGCTGCTACTGCACAATTATTTTCCTCCTGTGAAAAAGTTGTTCTTGTAAAATGTATACTTGTTTAAAGTAGCAATTTAAAACAGCATTTTATCTTAGCTGGCCAGTTAACTAAGGATCTGGAGAAGGGGTTCAATTGGCTTTCGTTTTCAGGTTACCTAAAATAAAATGCAGTTAGCATAGCTGTTCAATATTAGCTCATTAGCTTGCTAGTTACTTAGCTTATGTTAACTTTTTAGCATGCTAGCTTTAGCTTAATGCACTTGACCAGCATTTTATAGTGATTATATTGACACTTAAAAGTCTAATTAATAAAGCTTGTTATTAAAGAGGGAGATAGATAGATAGATAGATAGATAGATAGATAGATAGATAGATAGATAGCTTACAGGTAAGAAAATGACAGGTAAATGACACAATGGTGACGTGAGCGAAACCTACGAAATATCGTGTCAACATTCACACCAATGACATTGACATTAAAAATTTCTTGATTCTGAAATGCAGGTCTAATGTAAAAACATAAACAATCTCAAAACTGACTAAAACTTTATCAAAATTGGTCCAGCAGAAGTTGAAATAGTCACTTTCGGGGTTTAACAGCAATTTTGAATTTTGAAATGATTGTCAATGCATTCAGTATTCTTAATGTCCAGCCATTTGGTATGGGTGACAGGTATTGTTTTTTTAGAAATATCATAACAGGGACATTTGTCATGCATTTGGAACCAAAAATATGCCAACTTATCAGAAAATGTATAAAGTCTATAATGAATACCAACAAATATTTTGCACATATTCTTTCTTGGGGTCCAATGGACCCCAAAAGACCTTCTACGTATGGCAACATGAAAGTCCTGAATAGGGTTAAGTACAGTTACAACCCTCCTCATGCCAGGCAGCCATTAAAAAGCTAACCCTTTTTAGCATTTAGCTTCAAAGCTAGCACTAATGCAACACATCAAATTGAACTGGAGAAACTGGTACTTGAGTTTATGTAAGTGAAACAACTGAATCTACAAAACAATGGACGTTATGCAAAAAATATTTGTGATGAAAATTTTTATTTTCTTACCTGAAAAATCTTTTTTGGGCTCCAGAACAGTTTTCAACTGAGAGACATGAGGCTTCACCAATGAGCTCAGTTTGTTAGTGGGCATGGACTGTATTGATAACATGACCACAGCTCGTTTCTGATTCGTCAGACTGAGAGTGTTACAACTATCCCTGGTCTCCCCTACTACTTACAGAAATTACATTATTGCACATGCCAGTGGTGTTGCACAGATTTTTTCATGAATACAAATATTGACATAAGTATTAATATTGCACAGATTATTATTTATATTTCACAGATATTATGTAAGTAGAGAAATACCTCTGTAGAGTGTAGAAAACTGCCAAGAAAAAATGAATACATTTTTATAGGCAATGTATTTTCACATATGTCCCTTTTCTAAACTTGTATTTTTTGCTCCACAGGGGAACAGAAGAGATGACTGGTGATATCAATGACTCTATCGACTTTGTCCTTCTCAATTTTGCGGAAATGAACAAGTTATGGGTTCGAATGCAGCATCAGGGTCATAGCCGGGACCGAGAGAAGAGAGAAAAGGAAAGACAAGAACTTAGGATTCTCGTGGGCACCAATCTAGTTCGCCTGAGCCAACTTGAGGGTGTCAACGTGGACAAGTACAAACAGGTGTGTGGCTTTTGTTGCTTATTAGATTTATGTTGAGATAATAACTTTACAGTGACACTAGCAGTGTGCAGAGGTACACATTGGTTGGTATTTTTCCTAGTGATTTCAGTAAAAAAAACATTTTGAACTCCGAAAAATAAAAGACGCTGGGTGAAGGTTACTTTCAAATAAAATACTCAGTGTCTATTTGAGTCCTCCTCGTATTTATGAAATAAAAAGCTTCAGTGATATAGGGGTGCTAGGGTACCACTTTTGGGCACTTTTGTAACTAAATATAAGAAAAAAAAATACATGTCACAAAAATATCTGTATTGTTTGTTTCAGCATTGTTTGTGTCGTTTGATTCTGGAGAGTTTTTTTTGATGTTTTTTCATCTCAAGCATCTTTTGCTGCGTTTTTCATAAATTCAGACAGATACTTTACATTTGCTTTGCTGTTTTGGTAATTTGGCAATTGTCTATTCAAGTTATTTGTCATCTGTGTGTGTTTGTCTCCACAGATTGTTCTTCCTGGAGTGCTGGAACAGGTTGTGAACTGCAGAGACTCACTGGCTCAGGAATATCTAATGGAGTGCATTATTCAGGTGAGTGTTTTCTTCCATCTCTTCTAACTTTTGCAAAATGTCCACTTCAAGGTTTGTAGGAACTAAGAGTGTACTCTCTGTTAGACCAGCTGGATTCTCTGGGTCTAGACGCCCTATGTCATCAGTGCAGGCTTACTTAAATGGAGAGCGGACCAAGCAGTTATCAACATGCTGCCACAAGACCTCTGTTAATCGGTATGCAGGTTTAGGAGTCAAAACAACAGGATCAGCACATTTAATATCTGCAGTCCACAGGTTTTCAGATTTTATGGCTCTGTCTTTTATACTGTATCACACTTCTCAACAAAATAACATTCCACATATTTCAGAGCTTTACTTTTGATGGCAGAAACATGGAGGCTGAACTAGCCTCACATGACCTTCAGAGAATCAGACAATTATATGCAACTTGCAGAAAATCTCATGGTTTCATGGTCTTTATGTTTTAATCCTCAGCAACAGTCAAATGTGACTCAGATAGAGGATCGTAGGAACTAATATGTTAAGCATAACGATGAGAGCATTCCCTCCCAGGTGAGAGATTTGTTTCATCCTAACAGTGTCAGAATTATTTCAGACTGAGCTAAAAATACTGTTAACCCTTTACAGTTGATTTGCTGTGCAAATTTAATCCCAGCAAATACACAGCATAGGACAGTTTCAGGAATATGGAAAAGAATGGTTTCCAATCAGCATTTT